AAGGAAACAACTTCAATAGAAAGAGCTATGATGACTAGGTTGAAATGAAGTCCCTAACTTATCCAGTACTTAATAACTCAGATAGACCGTTTCGAGGTTAGTTGCCAAAGTATATTGAAAGAGCAGGATAGCCGCCATAGTAGAGGTAATTGAGTCCCTCAAGGCACCCGTCTATGCTATGAGCAGGATAAGTGATCGAATTATGATTGTCATGTTGGACAGGAAGGATACTGGGCAGACGTGCAGACACCGTAAGCCTGTCACACCAAATATTAAATAAGGTTCCTTCCTGAAACGTTGACGATACCATCACATGGATCCAGGAAAGCGCGTACCCCATATTGCTGGTGATCTGAATGTCAACGTCAGCAGTGACAGAAGGGACCTAGAAATGGTGCTCGAGTGTAGTGAGATACATTTGAGGAACGCCGAGGGAAAGGGTTGACTAGTCTTAAAGTCTAGGATCTGGCGTCAGCAGCACGTTCTCAGCAGAAAGAGAGAACCGAAAGGTAACGCATAGCAGTGGACTGGAGCAAACTGAAGTCGGCTATGTGCTCATGAGAAATCATTCTCAAGACCGCTCAGGATATCAAGGTGCTTTCTTCTGAAGGAATTGCTTCTCAGCCACAGGACTTGAGAGACATTGCCACGGACCTCCTTAGGAAAACAAAGGCGAGAAGCAAACGGAGAAAGCGATAGTGGAAGATGCACTAAAGCGATCTGGGTATCCATGGTAAAGAAGTTGTGTGAACACATGACATTTGATACCGCGTGATCGATCTCCGCCGAGAAGGGCTCGATCGCGTAACGTGGACGAGGTAGAAGAGATACTGATCAATGGAATGAAGGGAGTCCATTAAAATCCTCTACGACCGCAGATGCTCCAGAACGCTCAATGGGAAGGTGTACCGAATAGTGCTAAGGCCTGCGATGATACACGGCACAGAAGCTGGCCAGTGGGCAAAAATCAGGAGAAACTGCTGTACTTGAATTGCAAGTTTGTGGAATTCTTATTTCATGGTCACTATTTAATTCTTACGGAAAAATCTGCAACCAATCAGCAACGTAACGAAAGCTGAGGTGGCCTGTACAGGACTGGGTCTGGTGTCTATGCGTGTTCTCTCACTACCCCTACCTCCGCACGTTTCATCACTATTACTTAACTCACTTGAGCAAAAAATGTGAAGGTTTCCTGGGATCCCATCCAGTCATACGTCTGTCGACCATTTGATTCATTTAAGGAATGCCTGCTACGAGCTCGACGGCATTCTCGTTGGATAGCGTTCATTGATCTCGACGAACGGTTGACCATGACACAGTACAACGGTACCATCTACGATTATTTGAAGTGTGTTGAGGTTCTTATTTCGTTTTTCATCAAATATCTACTTCTAAGTTACTCCCTCCCTACAGCAAATTATTGCTTAAGTGTCCCTCTATGAAAAATGGAAGCCCTCCTTCACTACCCTCACCTTCTTCAAAATA